TGTTTTGGAAGCTGCTCGTGATATTAAAGCTCCAATTATTATCCAACTCTCTCAAGGTGGTTCTGCATTCTATGCAGGTAAAGGTTTGAGCAATGACAAGCAACAAGCTAGCATTATTGGTGCTACTTCTGCAGCGCATCACATCAGGATAGTTGCAAAAGAATATGGAGTGTAAGTTATATTTTTTAATGGATGAATTCTTATTAAACGTTTCATTCAGAGAGATAAACTTTTTTTATGATTTTTATTTAATTTCAATTACTAGTCCTGTCGTGCTTCATTCGGATCATTGTGCCGAAAAACTCTTGCCATGGTTTGATGGAATGTTGGAAGCTGACGAGGAATATTTTAAAAAACACGGTGAACCTCTCTTTAGTTCTCATATGCTTGATCTTTCTGAGCTATCGAGGACAGATAACGTTAAACTCTGTAAAGAATACCTGAAACGTATGTCCAAGATCAATCTTTTACTTGAAATGGAAATTGGTATTACTGGTGGTGAAGAAGATGGTGTTGACAATACTGATGTTCATAATTCATCTTTATATACGCAACCTGAGGACATCTGGTATGTGTATAAAGAATTGAGCGAAGTTAGCAATATGTTCACTATTGCTGCTGCTTTTGGAAACGTTCATGGTGTTTATAAACCCGGAAACGTAAAATTGTCTCCACAATTGCTGAAAGAACATCAAGAGTATGTGCGTGGACAATTAAAATGTAAAGAAACAAAACCTGTGTTTTTCGTATTTCATGGTGGTAGTGGATCTGTCAAAGCAGAGATCAAGGAAGCTGTCAGTTACGGTGTTATCAAGATGAATGTTGATACTGATACTCAATGGGCTTACTGGGAAGGGTTGAAATGTTATTACGAAAGTAAGAAAGATTATCTCCAATCCCAAGTTGGAAACCCTGAAGGCGACGATAAACCTAATAAGAAATACTATGATCCTCGTGTGTTCATTCGTGAGTCTGAAAAATGCATGGCTAAACGTGTTAAAGAGGCATGTCAAGATTTGGGGAATGTTGACCGTTTATGAATAAAACAATTTTTTTTTTTATTTACAATTGTAAAGAATGGTCGTCTCCTTGCTTTTAATATTAATGTAATGAATTTGTTTTTGTTAAAAGAAAATTTGTAATGACAGTGTGAAACCTGGGTCACTAGCTAGAAATTTGTGTGACCGTTTTTTTATATAAAATCTTGAGTTTTAATATAAAACTTTGTAAACTTTCTATTTATAAATAAAATTTTGCTTTTTTAAAACATTTTTATGGTAGTCCATTTTCATAATAAATTGAAACTTTATAATTTTTTAATTTTTGAATATTATACGTAGTTGGTTAATGTTAACTAATGCATTAATTAAATTAATAATTACTATATCGATATTGATTAATTATTATACGTAATCAAGTGCTAGGGTTGTTAATGGAGTGATCCAGGACGGTGTGGTGTATACTCTGCTAGAGTATCTCCTAAAACCACCCAATACCAGAATCTATACTCCAAATTTTATACTAGAGTTACTAAACTTATGTATTGCATACTATATATCACAGTATTGGTTAAGTTTATATTATATATTTCTAATCCGGAGTAGTGATAGTAACATATAAATCAATTAACAATCATCGCGATCAACCAGTTAAAATTTATAACATTATTCAGCTCGGTTTAGCTTGGAGATCACGGGACCTCCAAATTTTTGCACCACCTATCATTGGATAAGAACCAATTTTTTAGTTATAAGATTATAAAATATGGTTTAATAATATATATTATATAATTTACATCTAACCACATAAAACGATAGATTTGAATATCACGAAAAATCCTTTTTACATTTCGGATTGCCATTACTTGCACTTAATTTTCAATTTATATTGTATGATAAATTGATTAGTACAAAATCACACAATAGGCAATACCGATACCTACAGGTCTTACCCAAATATTGAAATTAAAACCGATTTTCCAAAATCATATTGTAAGTGATACAATCTCATTCTCGTTACTTTCATAAAATTTGATATGAATACCCAAACAAATCCTTTGAATCACCCATGTGTTTTTGTGTGCGCAATTTGATAAATGTTACTAAAAAAAAAAAAACTATAATAAATCTACAAAGCAAAAGATAAGTGGAAAATACATGCGCGAATATAAAAAGTCTATACGGGTTAAAATATGAGGCAAAGGAAATATGTATATAATCGATGGCTAAAAAAAAAAATGCGAAGAATGAGACGAAATAAGAACTATTTGGAAATAAACAGGGTATACATTGATTTATGTGCACTAAAAGAACATCTTTTAAAATAAAATAAAATAAAAAATACTACTTTGGACCTAAACAGAGTTAATTTACCAAAAAAAATCTAAATAAAAATAAAATAAAAACAAATCATACAGAATGTCCATAAATAAAAATGATTCCATCAATAAAAACTATTAATCGTAACAACAGCGACGGAAAAAAAAATAAGCCAATCTGAAGATATTTTAATCTACTTTTTTTCTTCTCTTGGTGCTCTCTTACCATTATCTATATTCTCCAATAAACCAATAATACTTAAGCAATTGTATTTAATTAGCCCTTCTTTGCATTTTCCCTTGCTGATTTAATCAGCGGAGCAAGCGATTTGAGAGGCTCAGATTTTTGTAAAAATTTGTGCTATGTTTACAACATTGATTAATTTTGTGAATATGTGAATAGTAAACCATTCGATATTTAAAGATATTTTACCTTAAGAAGTTCAACTGCAGTTGGTCTCCTATCCGAATCAACCTCCAATGATTGATTTAAAAAGTCTCGAAAGACTTGCGATAAACTTTCAGGATTTTGCAATTGAGGTGTGCCATTTGTTGCAATAAGATATAGGGCCTGAAAAATGCAAAATAATCAAATTCGACAAAATAAATTTACAAATAAAAAAAAAAAAAATTTGACTCTTTGAAAAACTCTACTAATACTGACCCTTAAAGGATTCTCGTTCAAATACGGTGGTTCACCCTCAACCATTTCAATAGCCATAATTCCTAATGACCATATATCAACTTTTGGACCATATTCTTTACGCGTCACTACTTCAGGAGCCATCCAATATGGTGTACCAACCATTGTTGTGCGTTTATTGTGATGCTCGTTGATTTGAGCACAGAACCCGAAATCGGCTATAATAAAATAAAATAAAATGTATAATAATCCGAGCGAAATATATATATATATAACGTATTTTCAAGAAATATACATACTAAGTTTAATATCGCCGTTTAATGCTAACAAAACATTATCACTCTTAATATCTCTGTGAATTACACCCTTTGAATGTAAATGTGATAAACCTTCCAAAGTCTGTTCAAATCATGTTAATTATTATATATTGAAAGTGTCTATATATAGATTTATTCAATCTAACAAAATCCGACCTTACCTCTCTACATACAGCTGCAATTTGACCTTCTGTCATTATATTACTGGTCACAACATCAGTCAGACTACCACCTTCCATATATTCCATAACTACCCATAGATCACCTTTCCAAAGGAAACTATCAATGTAATTTACAATATTACGATGCCTTGATTCTTTCATCACCAATATTTCATTTATGATGAGGTCTTTCTTTGGTTGTTGTTCGAGGTTCATTTGTTTAATGGCAACTGAAACGTTTGTTCCTACTTGATAAGCAGTAAAAACACCACCAGAAGCACTGGATATAAAAATAATAATTAGTCAAAATGTAAAATATAAAAATATATTTATACAATTTCCAAAATGTTCAGATAATAAAGATAGTTTATTCTTACCCTTGACCGATTTTAACCAAGTTTCTATATAATTTCGTTGGATCAGCATCAGTACAAATTGCCTTCAACCTCTCAATGATATCTATAGAATCTTTTGCTGGTTTACGTGGTGGTCGTCGTTGACTATTAGGTGGAGGTGGTTTCGTAACAGGACCAGAAGGACTACTTGTCTGTGGTGAAGGTTTAGATGTAGGAGGAGACGTTTGTGGAGGTGGTGGCACCTGGTTGGGCTCTTTTGGACGAGGTGGTTTAGGAGCAGGCTTTGGAG